CACAAAATACTAAAACCAATAACAGTAAGATACAGGATAAAAACAGTGTCGATGACGACAGTATTAATTACATTTAAGATAAAAAAGGTATCTCACCTCTCTTTCCAGGTCGCCACATATTTTTGCTTTGTACTTTCTGACGAGCTGCAAAAACAAAAAGGAGGAAAATAAAACGTTGAAAGTTAGCGACAAAACTTTGCATCGTGTGTTTCCTATCATTTATCAGTTCTTTCCACAAATCGCTGCCTTTTGAAACGATTTCCTTTTCGATGAAGGACTCAAGTGAAAGTCATTGTAACTGGTGCGCCGATTCCCCCCCTCCCCAAGAATCGTTAAAACGGAGAGTTCACGTTCCTAACACATTCTCTTTTAGACAACTGTCTCTCTTTCCTTATTCTCCATCCCAGCTCTCTTACTTTACGCTCGCCTTTTTCAAATCTCCCACGGTTCTTCACAAAAACAATTTTTGTAAGATAGCGATTCTGAAGCCATTCTGAGTGTGGGCTTAGGCAAGTGTGGATAACAAAAAAAATAACTAAAATTTTTTCATACATTTGTGCACTTAACCAACGTGAAAGCATGCAAGACATCTGAATTACCTTGAAGATCGTGAAGTTGATTCCCTAGCAAATGTGTCTCATCTGCAAAAATTAATGTTCGTTTTCAAGGAACACGTTATATATCTTAGTTATGCTATTTACATTGCAATGCACGCTAAGTAAAGGTGGTCTGATGACCGCTAGGTGCTCAGAGGACCAGAGACTGCCCTCGGTTAAAAATTATTGTTGTCGTCATCATTTTTATTCTTATCATAAGCATTAGTTAAATTTTTTCTTAGCAGTAGCTTTCATTAGAAGCTGATGGGTGGTATGGTAACTCTCTTGGACATCAAGCTTTATTATATACTAAATGGCGTTTAAGGCGCGCTCTGATTGGCTACTCAAACTCCCAATAACCTTTGCTAGTCACCTCCGAGCAACTAGCTTAGGATTTGTGCCCGAAAATATTGTATTAGTTGCGGGAGTTAGAATTGTATTTCTGTGTTATATTGTTGACAGCTTTAGTATTAACAACAATTTTGCAGCTCGGTAAATATCCACCTTTAACCAGCTCCACTTTGGTATATAGTTGTTGTTAAATATTCCTTGGGTATTTAGGTGTCGAAAGGCAACCTTTTTGTAGTGTACCAGTGATCTTTGGAACTTCTTCCAAACCAACCTTTCGGTTTGAATTCGCTTTCTCACCTTTTTAAAGTTAGAATTACTTTTTGATTTTGATTATGGTTGTTGTTTTCATCATCATCATCATCATCATCATCATCATCATTGTTATTATTATTATTATTATTATTTAGAGACAAAACAAAACACTGACACCAACGAAAATGAGGATAAAAGGAAAAAACAATATCAGTAACAACACAATAAGAATAATTTAAATAAAAAAATATCCATCTGACCTTTTTTCCCAGGTCGCCATTGATTATATTGAGTAACTTGACGTTTCTCGTTCTCAAGAGCTGCAAGGTAATAAAATAAAGTTAATAAAAACGTTTCCAGTCGGTTCCTTCCATTAAAGTTAGAGCTACTTCTGAGTTTTTTTTTGGTTATGGTTGTTGTTTTTATCATCATCATCATCATCATCATCATCATCATCATTATTATTATTATTATCATTTAGAGACAAAACAAAACACTGACACCAACGAAAATGAGGATAAAAGGAAAAAACAATATCAGTAACAACACAATAAGAATAATTTAAATAAAAAAATATCCATCTGACCTTTTTTCCCAGGTCGCCATTGATTATATTGACGTTTCTCGTTCTCAAGAGCTACAAAGTAATAAAAAGTTAATAAAAACGCCGCCAGTTGGTTCTTTCCATCAGTCCCTTCTTATTGAATAATGTCCTTTTCGAGGAAAGATTCTAGTAAACACATATGCTTCCGCCCTCCACACCCCTCCAGAATCGTTCGAACGGAGAATTTACGTCCTTCACGTTGCCTTTGTCAAATCTTCAGCGGTTCTTCTCAGGGAAAAGACCTTTTACTCTGCGAACGCTGACATATTTCTGGTTAACGCTTCTTTCCAAATATACCTCTATGTTCATAAGAATGTTCCTTGACTATGAAAAGATATATGACCAAATTAAACGATGAAACTCACGCTGATATCGAGAAATAGCGAGAGCGAAATAGATATTACGTTCGATCCAGCAGCATCAGACATAGAGGATTTCGTTATCAATAAAAAATAGCGAGAACGCTTTTTATTGTGAACAGTCGAGGAGGAAACATCAAATTGGATTCATTCTGAATCGAGAAAAAGTTTGACAAAGTTAAGATGTAAACTAGAGGCATATTAGAGCTTAAACTTACCACCGGTAGTAAACGTTGCTAACACAGCAATGATAACGATCAACAACAAGCCACGCATGATGGAAGATTTCCTGAGAAGGAATAGAAAAAAAAAAACAAAAAAAGATAAATCAGCCAAAGGATGTTAGTAACATCTAGTTCGGGAAACGGAAAACGGTAAAAGAAAAATTGAGAACGAGGAAAGGGAATGTAAAACGAGGAGCAAGAAATGAAGAACGGGGAACGGTAAAAGGGGAAACAGGAATCAGGGAGCGAAAGCATAGCGCCCTTTGAACTCAGTCGATAGAGCAAACAGCAAGGACGATGGATAAAATTTTCATTGAAGGTTATAAATCACACAAAAAGCGAGTTTAAAGTACTCTTTGGTGTGTGTTTAGTTACGAACAACTTCCAAATAATATAAATGAACAGGCTGATTAATTAGCATTTGTTGGGCGGAATTTTGTTCGTGACACACTTTTTGAGATCAGTAAAATAGAAGTAGGGACAACAGAAAATAGTTTTTTTCCTTCTTGCAAGAAACGAAGAATCATTCCCCTAGAAACTAAATTAACAAAAAATTTGCAAAAAATGAGGAAAACATATCCAGCGATCGTGTTTTGAAAACAGGATTTGGCATTTGATTTGGGAGTTGCTGGCCCTAAACATTTAAATCTTACGAGCTGATTGACGTGTTTTGAAAATAGACGAAATATATGCCAAAGAGAGGTAATTGTCACGTCGAAAGCCCTCATTAATTTATTAACAAATGCACAGCATAGCAGCTGGAGGGGAAAGGTTATTATCAGTTCAAGGGTAATTGTGGAGGGCGGAAATCATTTGTACATCTTGCACGAGAAATAATTCACTTTTCACAACAAAGATTAATTACAATTTCGTTTACGCAAAAGACATGTTTTTCGTAGTTGTATTTTGTTGCACGCAATTATTGATGATCGTTCCTAACGGGAAAATGACGATGTAGTGAGATAATTGAAAGTTTTGACATACGAATGAAAATAATGGTCTTACTTTTGTCGATGAAAAGGAAAAATTATATTAGAAAAAGGTACAAATTTAAAGAAAACTTAAAAAAAAAACCAAAAAACAAACGCACTTCGTAAGGAAGTAGAAACAAAGAGTCCTTGTCATATCATGTGATGATATTTTAAACTGCATGTTTTGGAATTATAGGCCATAAATAGCAAATGTTTGTAGAACCCTTTTTATAGACTCCAAGAAAAGCGGAAACTTGTCAAAACATTTCATCTATAATGACATACAGCGTTGATTTATTTATTATTGTGTTGAAAAGGCATTTGCAAAAAGCAAAAACTAAGGTTCAGTTTAAGTTTTAAAAGATGTAAGAACTATAAAGGTGTTTTATCATTAACACAGTATGTTTACAAGAAAAAAAAATTGTGGTTATTACTTAATTCCTACCAAATTTATATTTGTTCCAACATCTCTACCAATATTAATATTCTTGTGCCCAGTTTCAATTTTGCCACCAACATTAAACTGCTTATGCCAAGTTCCAGTTTTTTTCCAGCATTAAACTGCTTCTGGCCAGTTCCAATATTTTTTCCATTTAACTGCTTATGGCCAGTTCCAATATTTTTTCCAGCATTAAACTAATTATGCCCAGTTCTAATATCTTTACCAAAATTAAACTGCTTCCGCTCGGTTTCAATCTCCTCTACTCTTCCATTTGCTCCGTTCAACTGCAAGTCACGCCAAGTTTCGAGTATAATTCATGATTTCGTTAAAGAAAATTAAAAATTACGAATATAACTCCTCTTTTCTGATCATTTTAGGAGCTAAACATTACTCACTATTTTCTTTCCATCAAGGAATGTTTGTGTCAAATACGTCGAAAATTCTCGTTAAATAATACAGTCACTCATACTTCTTTAGCAGTAGCTTTGATAGAGACTATTTTTGTAAGGATTAAATAGTACAATCTAATGGGGGTGAAAAAATGAACGCTCTTTAATTTTTAGACCGATGTTAAGCTACTTTGTTTTGCTTTTTTAAACTAAATGAGTCCGCATTTGCGAATTCAATTTTTTTAAACAATTTTCTCTCACTAAAAGTCTTGACATCCAACCTCGGCCGTATTCAGATGAACTTTGGTAACTTTTAAAACTCACACAAGTCCAACAATTAACCGAAGAAAAAAAGAGCGCGGTTTGGAACCCTAGCCTTTTGATACGCTAAAAAGGTTTTTCATTCCTCCATAATATAGAAAATGTTCTTAACTTGAGAACTGCAAACCACCATTTGAAATTGATTAGGGCATGAGCAACTCACGCAAATGAACTTTGGAAAAATTGTCGAATTCTAGAGTTTATCATAAATTATTTATTTCCCTTTAGTGGCATTAGAATGCAAAGGGTTGTACTTTTGGATTTTAGAAGTATTGTTTTATTGGGTTTTTTTGAAAAATAATGTGACAAACACTAAAAGGGTGACATCAATTATGGAGTGGCTTTTTAAAGTGAAAGCAATGAGAACTTGTCGGACTTGGGTGAGAAAATTCTGTTGTTCTTATTGCAAATACAATAGCGCATTAAATTCACAATAACTGTTTTGTCATGACATTGAAAAAACACAAAAATAAAATAGAAATAAGAATTTAACCTTGGCTTCTGGTTTCGTTCAGTCAAAGAACGGTGTTTTGAATTTTTTTTCTGTAAAAAATAGCCGGTAATGTAGGCAGTAAATCTTACCTTTTTGTGAGAGACAGCTAATGTTACCTCCTTCACCCTTCTCCCTCTTTGCAGAATAACCTTCCCTTTCGCTTGGAAGCTCCTTAAGTAGCCCTACAAATGGAAAATATGATAATTATAGCCATCCAGTGGTGTATCAATAGACGCTGTTGGATGAATATTTCTTGGCGTATCTCGACTATTCGCTTATCATGCAAATGAAAGGGGGCGGGCCGTGAAATCGACAACGGAAGGCGCGCCGCAAATGCGAACGACGCCCCTGGTTTCCGTTTCATGACATTGATGGCATTATTCTCCACTCATAGGAAGCAAAAGTATAAATGACAAAAGCAATAAATTACAATTAGAACCTGTGACAATCAAATTTCACTCAGAAGCGATAACCGTTATGATTGTGGCGCCGGTAATTAGATGAGCTGCCTGCAAGGCAGAATTGAGCCGGAACTTTGGCGGTGATTTTATATTAAAAAAGTGTTAGTGACAATTTTAGGACTTCACTCAGTAAAATGCAATTTGCGGGAAAGTTTGCGACTTTATAATACTTAAAATCTATGGGGTGTCTACCTTCAGAACTTGAAAAAAGAAAAATCAGAGTCTGTAAATTGACGAGAGTTTTTTAGTATGCGAAGATAATTCTATGGAGACTTAAAAGACTTAACTAAATCGAGTTTCCTTTCATCCGACGGTTGTTATGTACTAAATCTGGATCACAGTCGTACTTGAATGCGAGAGAGGTACTTTAGTCATATCTTTGAAGGACTCGTTAATTTAAAATGGAAGTAGAATTCCAGCATGTCGAAAAATAAGTTTCTCATATGTCAAATAATTACAGTTTAATTCAATTTTGGCTACAATTTCCTCAAAACACGTACGTTATGTAACGAGAATTGTTTATTTTCCAATTCACTTTCATTTCGCAGCGTGTCATATTTCTTTTCATCTTGAAGCTAATTGGGGCGAAGAATCACGACATTGCGAACCTTTTTCCCGAGGTAGCAGCTCACTCGACCTTACTTTTAGCCACCGTTTAAGCAAAACTCAATTTTCTTTAAATTTTTTTTTTCTAAAAGCGTCTTGTAGAAGTTTTTAATGCTGAGTTACCTTTGTAGACCAAGAATATGAACAAACGCTCCCATTTCCATCTTGCGCGTTCTCGACGCTTTGAACGCGTGTCCTTGGCGTTCAATTTGAACATTTAAAAATATATGACAATGCCGTGATTACGTCGATAGCAGTTTGAGATAATGAGGTATTTGCTTTTCTTGGTCTCTCTTTATGGGAGCACAGCGGGAAGTTTCAAGCAGGTAGGACAAATTGACGTCAAAGTTATTTTCTTGAAATTCGCGTGATTTTTTTAAAGTTTGCTTTCTTTGGCTCAAGTGATAAAGAGCGATTTGTCATCGTCATCATGCCTAGGTTGCATTCTTTGAAAAATTAACGCATGTAGGTTGCATTTAGCCGTATCTATCATGTCAACTCACCCCGCTTTTTTAATAATTAATCTTCATGTTTGGAGGTCAGTATTTGCCATGTGGAGTGTTTCAGTTCATTAGAAGGATCAATCAGTGCTTTCCCTCTTAACGCTGTATTTTTAACGGAAAGCTTTATTTAGAAGACGAGGAAATAGAACTGGCCACTTTGCTTTCCACTTCTGGTTTCCTATTTTGGTTCGAGTTTATCTCTCTCTTTTTTTTTTTTTTTTTTTTGAGGAAAAAAAAAAACAGTATTTGCCATGTAGAGAGTTCAAGTTCATTAGAAGGATAACTTAAAGCTTTCCTTGTAGATGCTCTGTCTTTAACGAAGAACTTTATTTTGAAGACGAGGAATTAGAATTGGCCACTTTGGTTTCCACCTCTGGTTTTCTGCTATGGTTAGAGTTTGTCTTTTTTTTTTAAAGGAAAAAAATATTAAATGACTTCTATTGATTGATTCATTGTGGTAAGAAGAGGGTTAACTGAAATGATAAGCGATCGTAGCTTACCAATCTTCTTTTCAGTCATGGCCGACTATCCATTGATACCAATTTTTCCGGGTTTTTTTTGCGTAAACAAGGCAAAACCGAGTGATGAATGCGTTGTTGTTGATCTTTTCGATTATTCCTGTCAAAAGTAGCTTCACAGTGCAATGATAAGACCAAACATTGATCACACGTTTCAGCTTGGAAGAGCAGAAATCAAAAGAGAGTATTCGCAGATTAGTAGATTAAATGCGTTTTCAAACTTGAGATAATTGATGAATAAATTTCCATGGAAAATCACTTTGAATAAAACCACAGGTGCTCACTCCATATATGATTAAAAATTGGGCAAAAATGAAACGCTTTCTCGTGGAGAAAGCGAGAAATCTTAGGAGAAGGGTATTCAGAACTGAGAAGGGCGCTGTAAGCCAGTAAGCCTTACTTCTTTAAAACGTCTGCCAGTTTAAGCGGTTCACATTTAGCTAGCACTAATTAAGAATGAAAACATCATCTGATAATTTCATAGAATCCGTGTTATTTCAAAACATCCAGAGGTATAAAGGGGAAAAACGCGATAAAAGAAAAAGCGAGAAGTAAGATGTTCTTACGTATTTGGTCTCGTTTTGGTGGTCCTTGTTAGGTGAGATGTTAAACCAATTTTTTTTAAATGTTAGTGATATCTTCAGTGAGAACGAGAACACAGTGAACTATATCTCATCGTCATTTTCTGTCCTCAAGCTTTGAAAAACGTGGCAAACGGATGGTAGAATTGACAATCAGCCGGTTGGGTGCATATGACATTAGATGACGCCTTCATTTCCTGTTTAAACGATAAAGCAAACACAGTCAAGTTTTGTCCAGAGCCGGATTTAAGGAAGCTACGGTCAGCTGTTTACAGTGGACTTTAATGTAAGGAAGTTAAATGCAAAACAATGATTTCTCGGTGATGAGAAAACATGGGCTATTTAAGTGGCATATTGGCGGGCTTAAATAAGAATGATCGTTTCACTTTGGGTACTCAAAAATACTATGAAATTGTAAGAGAATCAGATCAGTGTGAATAGCAGGGTACGGCAGTGGATTTGATTTAATTTTTTTGATTTGTGCTCGAAGGAATTACCAAAAGGTAGGTATTGCCTATCTTTCGACAATGCGCAAATTAGGTGATAGGTTTTGAAGGAATTTCTTTCAATATCCTCTTAGTTTTTTTTGCGTGCGCGGAAGCATACCGAAACGACCGAGGTCAAAAATTGAATCAAATTTCGTTCTGATTAGTTTATACTTTGAATTTATTATGAATACAATGTTCCTTTGATGTATGAGTTCAATAACGGGGCATCGATAGTCTCCACTCGCCAGAAATTATCATCTCAGGCATGGAGTACCAATTTCAAGCTGCGTTCAGTTTGCCTGATTTTAAAGAAATGGGTAAAAAAAATTCAACATTTGCTTAAAATATGAAGTAGTTTTTTCAAGTACGCCTCAACAATAAAACTTATAGTTATCGCAATGCAGTGACGAAGCTTGCTTATTTTTATAACAATCATTGCAGACGGAATAAACTTTCAGAAACGATTGATAAAATCAGGTATATGTAATCAGCTGTAGTCAAAGTTGATTGAAGTAAACCCGTTATTGAAGGTAAAAAACATTATGTACTCTAACTTGCTTTTCATCAAAAAGCAAAAACTTTTTTGAATTTTCAAGAGAAACAAATGCTTCTACGTTTATTTCCGTACGTTAGTTTGGGTCTCTGTTACTCGTTTAATGTGCTTAAAAATCGATAACACAAATTTTCGCCTGTATTAAACCGATAGCTATATTTGGGAAAATCAAGATTATCTCTTCAGATTCCCGCCCCAAATTATTGTTACAAGAAGATGTCTGCGTTCATATTCATGCAATGTACTGATTTCATTGTTTTGATAAGAACTAAGCTGACAAAGGTATCTTAAAAACATCATGTATACCAAAACTGAACAGAACCAAATGTCATTGAGTGTTAAGATCAATCGAAGGCGTAAACATCACACGAAATAAGAGTTGTTACAGCTTTCTCAAGGAGGAAATATTTCAATTTTACAAAGCCATCGGTTACGGTTATTCTTCTGAAAAAGATGTACTGTCCTGAATTTCGTTTTTTAACTTGGCAAATTGACAAAAATGCACATGATCCTGGTGAAGCGGATGAAACCAGGAGTTTCCTTGTCGTCAGCTTGCATGACCGTTCTTCCGGGTGATCTTTTCTGGGTTCCATGAGGACTGTTTCAGAAACTGTGCATACAAAAAAAATTTAAGTCTAATTGTTTGTTTGAGCTTGAAATGATCTGTAAAGTGATTTCGAATTACTGATTTTACAACTATCGTGAGGAAATTAGACCGTTTTATAAATCATACTCTTTTCGGTTGCGATATACGAGGTTTGATTCAGGTCATTAACAATAATGACACAACTCCTACTATCCGGGTTTTTTCCTCTTCACTGATATATTTCTGTCGCATCACCATGAGTGACATGGTGGGAGGTGGAGATGGTGGTCGAGAGGGGAGTGGAGAGGGGAGCAGGGAAAGTACTGAGCACTTTTGTAAGATTAAATGACGCCGATTTACTTCGACGATGAGCTCCTGCCAGATTACAAGGCACGAGTTTGAAAAAGCACCTGCTTTGTTTGGATCCAGCGGAAAAGATGATTATGTGCAGGAAGGGTACGCATTGCTACGTATTTCTATGGAATTACCATGATACAAAGACACTCCAGGCAGGTGCTTCGCAGAAGTTTGAATTCAGAACTTTTATATAATAGATTAAATGCAGTTATGTAACATCAATGTCCTTACCTCTTCCTTACGCGACGACGATCAACCATTTTGTACTTGTGACTTAGAAGGTTTTTGTGTTTCCCTTTCAGAAACAAAAGGTTTAACTAAAGCAGTCTGAGAGATTTTAACATTTTCAAGAGTGTCTCATTGACGAAAATTCCTTAATTTGAGGGCGAACCCCTCCCATTAAACAATTTATCCGCTTCAATTTATTTTACTGGCCGGATTAAATTTAAAGGATAAGCCGGAAAAACAGCATGTATCTCCTTTGTAACTGTCAAAATCGAAAGAAAACTCAACAAATGAACTTTATGTAAAGGGATTTGTAAAGTACATAACGAAATTCTGGGCAAACTTTGTTTTGTATAGGTAATCACATGATTTCGAGTGCAATTTAGAATAAATAAGCACGAGTAAATTTTTTCAGAGACTGACAAAAATTTGTGGTCTTAACAAGTGCTTATTTATTCCAAACCGCATGAGAAAAATCATGTGATTACGTATTAATAAAATACATGGAAAAATACGGGATAGCTTATCATAATTGTGCAGAAGCAAAGCGCGCGCATTAAGTGCAAAAATAATTTATTCAAACCTGTACATTTAATCAAAACAACCGCGTACGATCAAAACAGTAATATACAATGATATTTTCACATATATAACGCGCAAAAAAGTTCAAAGTCCGGATGAACAGTTCAAAGAATTGTTCAGTCTGTGTCCGAATCACTTTCGGTGAAATGAAATCGTCGTTTGCGAGGTTTAACCATGTTTGTTTTTAAGTTCGGCGTGCAATCGCTCGAAGTGTTAAGCTGGATCGGCTCGTAATTTTGGTTTCCTTGGCAATTCCCTTCTCTAAACACCACTTTTTCCAAACCGACAACCAAACAGCAGTGCTTTTTACAGTGTTTCGTTATCAGAGCTGTATTCAGCTGCTGTATTGGTCTTGCGGTAGAGAAAGAAAACCTCAGTACTTAAAACGCCGGCCATTGTTTCGCTCGCAAATTTTCAGCGTAGCCAAATGTCGCGACATCCAAGGCTCGCATTTGATTAGCTCTGAGTGAGTTTCTTTGATTATTGTCTATTCAGAATGTCTGGTTAGTTACTTTCCTTGCACTGAATTAACCCTCAAGCGTTGAATTACCTGAAAACTGCATTTATCTTAACCAATCAGATCTGAGTAACTTTTTCAGGGCTATCCTATGCCTTGTATATTATTAGAGTTTGAACTGAAGATACAGAACTATAGCACTACAAGCTTCACTGTTATCGCTGTAACAGTGTTCATTGGAAAATTCTCCGACCGAACCAATATTTCATATTTCATCGAAAATTTCCATATAGATTGGAACCCATACTGACACTTGTGTCTACTGAGACAGGTGAAAGCGTTCAACAGTTTACAGCCGTTACATGCGCAGCAGGTCAAAGATTGCCAATCAAAGGGGAAAGCTGTAATTACTTTAGCCAGAGAAACTGGCATCGGTTCCTGCTACGTAGTGAAAGGCAATTAAGATATCTTGCCAAGTAATGTTACTGTAAAACATGGCTGGTGCGCTCCTCGGCAGGTTTCTGCTTTTGACACAGTTATGCACTTATGCAAGAGCGACAAAATTTTGCCGCGAATCCCATGGGATGACGCATAACAACGAAGTTTTAATCGGGCATTCTTACAAATCGCTACTAACACGGGGGATTTTTGGTTGTGGGCATGAGTGCTTGGCCAGTCTAAAGTGTACATCCTATAACTATCAAACATCAGCGGTTGGACGAGGCATCTGCGAGCTTAACGACGGTGAATTTAGTGGCAAAAGACATTTGGTAAAGAAACAAGGCTTTGTCTTCGTTCAAGTGAAATGGAAACAGGTGAGTTATCTTAGGAAGGTTTTCTGAGTGATTTTAGCGTACGTTTGCTAAAAATTCCATATTCAGACCCCCAAAAGATATCAGAAATTACTCAACCATAAGGTAGTTTTGTACTGAAGTGATAACATCGAGTTCAGTTTAATAATAAGTAAATGACAAAAATGAAAATAATCAAGTAGATCGTCAATAATTTAAAGGATGAAGAAAAAACTGAGATTGTACAAAATTCTGATCAGGTTGATGTAATATTCATATCCGAGTAGGGCCAGCACTAATGAATTCACAGCACGTTTCCAACGTCAGCTAAACGTCAGCCAGTCTAGAAAACCTTTCATTTCTATTCTTAATTTCCTTTCTAAACGCACTCTTGGCCATTAACAATAATTTTCCTCATTAAATTGAGGAAGATTGACAGTTTGCTAGATTATAACAACACACGCTTTTGGCAAAATAAAGATTTTCTTCAGTTAGAATAAAAGTCACGTAAAAATATTTAGCCTTTTCATGCGTATCAGATGAAACCTGAAGTCATTTTCAAGGATGACTGATAGGAGAGATCGCGGGCACAGGTTACATTTTCCTACCTAAAAACAAGAGGTTATAATATCTTAATGTATATGCATAGGATAGCCCTGAAATCCCTTATGCAAGAACTGTAGTAAAGAATTAATGTTATTGTCTGACCTACAAGATGAGAACTCAATTGGAGGAGATTGAAACAATTACCTTATCCCCCATAAGGCTCTCTAACTTATGACCCTTCCTACCCCCCCTCCCACTCTTTGGCTGTTAATTGGTATTCACATTTTTTCAGTCCATACTGTATACTCTGGTGGTAGCGACTGCTCCACCTCCGTTCCCCTTGAAAATACGCCTACTCTCCCTTCTCGCCCCGCCGGCGATTACTATAGACTAGTGCCTTACATTTTACTCTTGACGACTTCTCCAGAGACCCAAAAGTTGCTGGGAGGCCTGGAAACAAGGGGCAAGAACATCGGGATACTACTTCATTCAGGGGAGGACGGAGTGTCTCTTTTACGAAATGTACTGCGACTTCAGTTCAGAACCCGGTTGGGCCTGGACTCTAGTCATGTCACAGAGCTTGAGCAGAAGGAGCAAAGCTTTTGCGAAGGATTCATTCTTACGAGGACCTTTTAAAAACCAGCAGTATCCAAACTGGGAAAACTACAGAATTGGCAACAGTCGAATGAAGATTGTGCAAGCGCAGTCCAGCCACTGGCGAGTCACATGTGATTTCCCATCTTATGGTGTCGATTACAGAGATTACGTCAGGGTCGCTTTTAAAAAAATAAATCCGATGAGATACAAGGTCAGTGGGGGATGCCGAGAAGTGGAATACATCAACATCCGAGGGCATAACTGTACAAAATGCACAGCTGGCTGGTGGCAAACAGACACTCAATTTCTGACGCACTTTAGTGATAAGGATATTTGCCAGTTCGGCAAGACACTGGGTTTCCTTGACAACGAGGCCAACTTCGGCGGCTATTGGAAGAACAATGTTAGCTCTGAGTTTCGGTGTTCATCAGTGAACACGTCCACCACCAATCATTGGTTCGGAGGTAAAGTATAGGCGATGACAAGAACATTAAAAATCGCCAAAGACAACTTCAAAAATAACGACAGCGACACCTTTAAACACAAACAACGCTTAGTAGCGATAAAGAAAACGCAGCAACTTGTATGCGTCCAGATCCCTCGTGATTTTATTAACAACGACCACAACGATTTTCAGGTAATTTAGTGTTAACAACTGGGTTGAAAACGTAAATTAGCCACCGTAAAGGATAAAAAAGCTGACGTTTCGAGCGTTAGCCCTTCGTCAGAGCAATTGAGCAATCTGCTATACCTGCTATACTCTCTCACCGACGCAGCACCACAGTTTCTTTAGAAACTTACCCCTTTACAACGATTTTCATACGAGGATTTATCCGGTAATTGAAGTTGTTGTTTCTTACAAGATAGCCTTAGATTCTTTCGCCAAAATAAAACTCGGCAAATGTGAAAAAACGCACATGGCGCGGAACACTGCGTCCTTGTCATTTTGTCAGTGGTATTATAACCTATATGTAAATGTAAAGAATTATACATACTGCTAGCCTAAGCAATCCAAGTTATTGTAAATACATGCATAAATAACCTTTCTGAGATATCTTGGAAAACTTGCTCATCTAAGGAAGGAAACAGTCGTGGCAGTTATCATGAATATCGAGACTAGAGACATGATTTGTTTTGTTTGGCTTAGAAGTTCTTGTATCGCAGGAAATTAGCGGAGCTCGCAGCGCGCGCAGCGTAGCCCCATAATTATACAAAATAGTAGTAACCCATCAAGCCGAAAAAATTTGAACGTACGACCTTACGACCATACGACTGACCGTACAAGGTGCTACTCTTAGTATGCGTGGCCAAGTGCATTGCAGGCATGTTCTTAGCTATTACGTGATGGAAGGGTAAAGGAGAAGGTAATGCGAAGGCGATATTGCGTGCGTAACTAGGATACCCCATTAGCGCCAGGAGACACTGGCAGATCACAATGAAGTGTGCCTACTCGAGTGCCGAGCTTTAGTGCAGCGTACCGTGGGCATACGGCTAGGCATTACACGAGGGCTTCACGTGAGCTAGTAGATGTGAAGCCGCGTAAGCAAATAACTTGCAACACGCGTTTTGAGCGGGAAATCAAACTGGTGAGGTTGTAGTTGAACATTAATTCTCAGTATTTTGCAGTTTTTAATCAACTCGCAAAGCAACAATACCAACAGAGCTAAATCTTTGTCAACCGGAGGAAATTGTTATAATTTAAGTCTGTGGAGAAAGGGTTTTGGGTAAAATAGGCCGGAAAGAAAGAAACAGAGCGACCAAAGAAAGCAAGGAGTAAAAGGCGTAAAGCGAGTCGAGAAAAACGCGGATGGAAGTTAGAAAGGACGCTGAAATAGGCCGAATATGGCGAGAGGAAAGCGAAAGAGAACAAGAAAAGGCATAAGTAAAAAGGCGAATATCTAGCGAAGAGCAACGAAAAAAGGAAATACAAAGAGCTTCAGAAAACAGACTGAAAAGGAGGGGGGCATTGGGGCTTATTAGAAACCGCAAAACCGTAGAAAAAAAATCATCAAGAACCGAAAAACCGAAAAAAAATTCGATCAAAACCGAAAACCGCATGAAAACTTTCAAAACCGATACATTTTCACATCCCAGTTATTAAAACCCTGATCAATCCGATACAGTGGTGACAAGCGGAGCATACAGAGTAAACTACACTAGTTTCATTAGAGTATTTGTGAATACCATGGACTTGGTATTCGTATCTTCTAATACCTGCTAAACTACAAGCTTTATTTCATGTAATAGTGTAGTTTTTAATAGTGGTGACTGACGTTTCGACAACCTGAGAGGAAGTCATCATCAGAGTCAAGTGAAAGGCTGTTGTCAGTCGAATGTACTTAGTCCAATTTGTGTACACTGATTGGTCAGTTTTGCCGTGATGTTATTGGCTGTAAGACTCAAGTGGCGTAGGCCAGTCGTGATTGGTCGGTTTGGATCCGTTAGTGAAGTTAGGTCGTTCTGTTCGGTTCGTTTGTAATGTTAATGTCGTAGATGAGTCGTTTGTATGGTGCCGGTAGTGGTTGACACCTGTTGAGGGGAGTCTGTCACCACTACCGACAACAGTCCTTCTTAGGACAACACTCACCCGGACGATCAAACTACACTATTACATGTTACCCCCGAGTTCAAACCATTTACTATAAGCTTTATTTCAGCTGCTTTCTCGAGGACCTTGAGCGTGGTGTCTGCGGACTCAGCAGCTAGTAATGGAGCCCAGTTAAATTAAGGAGATTCGCACAAAGTCCTCTAGAGTCCTCTATAGGATTCCAATTTTTGCTATGCATCTAAACTTGTTTTTCTCTCTGAAATTCTCGCCGCCTTTCCCCTCTTCGTAAAAAAACGCAAAACTGATCGAACTTGAACTAAGTGTTCCACGTTGCAAGGTCAAAGTCTTGGGCGTTATTCAAGACGCGTGAACCCCTACGGATGGTCAAAGTCTTGGGGCGTCATTCAAGACGCGTGAACCCCATAAAGATCCCTGTGATATTTCAATTGGTTTGTAACGCATTCCTCTCAATAACATTTGCGTTTAGCGAGATCAGTGGAGGCGCATAATTGCCTCTTAGATCGAAGAGAAACCGAAACCCAAATAGGTTAAATAGGAAAAACCGAAAACCGCATCGGATATCAAATCCGAAAACCCGTTAGTATTTTTCCTGAAAACCGAAAACCAAATGCTAAAAAACGGAAAATCCGTAACTGCAATGAACACCAAAACCGAAAAACCGAAGGTTTTTGACACAAAAACCGAAAAACCGATCGAAAAAATAGCCAAAACCGCAAAACCTAAAATCCCAATGCCCCCCTCGAAGGGGTTCATCAACAAAGAGAAGCGAACCACAAAGGATTCGTGAAAGAAGAGGAGGTAAGTCGTGTCTTATCTGGGTTTTCTCTTGCGCTGAGGCCCAGAAAAATTCAAACCTTTTTTCCCAATCTTCGTTTGATACTAGCTTCAGTTTATAATTCAAATCATGTTTCGGTAAAACAATGACTTTTGCATACATCGCTTTAAAACCCTCGCGCCCGTTCATCGCTCGAATAACATTTCAAAGTGTTCGTATTCTTCAAATTATTTAGGGAACGGATTATATTTTGCCTAGAAAGTTTTAAAATGATAGCGAACGGCGTAAGCAAGTTTTTATCATTCTCTCTTTAGCTGGCTATCAAAAGGTTTACACTATTCATTCAAAAATCGCGCTTTGTCGAAAGTTTGTTGTTTTACCCTAAGAACGAAGTAATGGCCTTTCCCAAAATTGAATTACAATGAGATTGAGTCAGCGATGTTCATGTTTACATTAAGTCTGACGCGGTAATTTGATTTTGAAAATATTGTTAAGTGAGAACCCGTCAAACATCTGAGAATTAAATTACCGAGCGCAAATGTGAGGAGGAAACAAACTCTTGGGTAAAATGGTGTTAATCCAGCAGCGGGAGGAGTGAATTTTATCGTTTAGTCATGGTACTTTTCAGCGCTATGTTTTCATGCTTTCTATGCGATTCGTTCTAACTTGAAGAAATGATTTGTTTCACAAAATATGGAGCCACTTTCTCTTCGCTCAACATCTCGAGTCGTACTTAATGCTCGGGTTGTGATCAATATACCTGCGATACGATGATTTGTTCCTGATGCTGGAAACTGAAGAATCATTCTCTGAATAGTCATCACATTTTGCAAGAAGCGTCCGAGCTATGATTGTCTAATTAAACGGGGTCCTGGCACTTTGAGCTCACAAGCACGCTGGTAAGAACATGGTTAGCGTAAATATTTTTTGTTCACAGTTTTCGAATTCGAGAGCAGATTTTGAGAGTCCGTATCTGTAACCTTCCTGGATATTTTCTGTTGAATTCATTAAGGTACAATCTCGGAATTTCATAAGTGATTATGAACAATAAATTCATATAGGCACCATAATTTTTGGGGAGTTTTGTTGACATATTCCCTATCTTCGAAAATTTGCACAAAACATCAGGAACAACAACGACCTTCCTAGACTGTGTGAAGATACCGCTGACTAGCATGCGTGTTAATCGCCTTGCAAGTTGTGAGAACATCGTCTCCAGGTTCCAGACCTCGTCAATTGTTCCCCCCCTCCCCATCCCCGGACTGGTCTCTAAATCCCCTTAAAGAAACTCTTCTACAGCTAATGCTGAAGAGTTTTATTTCAGTTTTTATTCAGAAAAATGAAGGGCTGGAAAATAAACTTACAAGAGCTCCGCTTTTAGGCCTGGTTAAATCTATATATTAGATTAAGCTATTGTATTAAGAACATTCTGCTCTGTACATCACTTTAGCTTATTCTGTCTTCTGATCAGTCGAGAGATAGGCCCAAGCTAAGGTTATACCTTCAGTCGTAACTTAAAGAAACGACTAGCAAAGAATATCCCATACCTTTTGAGGATTGTCTTCTCGGTCTACCGTACCTCTGCCTTTGGCTCGGCGTAAAACCACGTACCACCCAAAGCGTAGTCTGCTCACTCTCCCCCACAAAAGCATATAGAACGCAAAACTGTTTCAAGGAAGAATAAAATATATAAAATGAATGAGACTGGGTACTATGGTAATCCATAGAACCCGGTTAGCGTATCGTTACACTTCGTTTTAAAACGTAGCATTAATTTTATTGTTAATGAATTTGACCCATCTTACTACATTAGAATAATCAGTTTACTCCTTTTGAAGAATTCTATTAAGGATCTTGGAAAAATGTTGGAAAGATACTTATTCGAAGACATTACGCCATCTGCAGGTTGTTGTGCAGTAAGTAAATGGTGTAGACATTGAGTCCTTCAAAGAATACAGTTTTAACGATGTCCATGTTTTTTGGGCCAACACTGAGTGGAATAAAAGATTCTCTGAAAAGATTAATAATCAAATGAATTCCAAAATGAAATGCCGTCTGAATTATATTACACTTTTTTCTTTTGATTTTGAAGAACAAATGACATAATTTCTTCTCCAGCCAAACTCAAGAAGACATCCGTAAGAATCAAAAGAGCTTGGTTTCTGTGGCATAACAAGAGGCAGCCTGGGTCCGACTTTCACTGACTTATCTCGAGCTACTTCGCGCGCCTTGCGTCGTAAACAATTACTATGACGTCATAGTATCACTTCACTCAGTTTCATGAATCAAAGACGCGCTTTCATTTTCGTGGGGGGAAAAGCGCGTCTTTACAGGGTGAAAGATGGCAATATCTCCGTAATTCATCAGGGAGTGATCTCCGTGAGTGTAAGCAAAACTGTTTTTGCAGTCTCGCTTAACGGAGTTTACTCAAGTTGTAAAACAGAGGCAAGATTCAAGCCACTGGGCCGCAAGAAAATGGTGAGTAGAAGAACATAAAACATCATTAAGGGTTCCGCTAACCCTTTACACCCCAACAGTAGTGTATGCATATTCTCCATACTTTCCTCCGTACATTTTGTAAGGTGCTGACAAGGAGAATTTGTTTAACAATCAGGAGCCTCTTTAATTGGTGATTATTTAAGCTATCTCTGTGACCTTAATGTGTGATTCCAGGGTGATATACATCGTGAGGAGAAATTGGATATTACTCGGGGTTACAAGGTTAACGGAGTTTACTCTAGTGTAATACAGAGGCACAATTCCGGGCACTAAGCTGTGTGAAGATGGTGAGTAGAGGACCCAAAACATCAACAAGTGTTCAATCAATCAATCAATCAAAGTTTATTGTCTAACGTGAGGCATGGTTGCCCAATTGCCCGAGCCAGAGGCTCATGTATAAAACGGTAGACTATAAATTAACTATAATTAAAGGTACATTATAAGAAGTACTTATAAGTCAAAATAAATTCCAGCATGTAACTAACTCAATTAACACAGGCAAAATGGAGAAGACTTGAGCTGAAGGCAAAAGCCCAAACACAAGCGACAATGTCAACTGAATCAGATAAAAAATAAAAAAAATAAAAACTTTATAGGTAAAAATATATAAGTTTAGAGTATGAATAATAATTGTGAATTTGTAGGTAATTAATATTGATAGTTAAAGGAGTCTAAACATTATTTTCGGTGAAAGATATTGCAGTAGATTAATATGAATAAAAATGACAATGTATGTGTGTGTACAATGAAAGTCAAATACATGTATTACATTTACAGATAGGTCCTAGTGTGCTGAAATCGAAAGTCTTAAGTTTGCAACAGAAATCGCTAAGCTTAGATGCTGTTTTAAGTTCTCTAGGTAAACTGTTCCAAAGGTGATTAACTTTATATGTAAAGGAATTATGATAGAATCTATTATTATACCCTGGTTGCACTAGATTTACACCTTTATTCCTTAAATTATATCTAGATTCCCGCAATTGAAAAAAGTTTTTCATATATTCTGGACCGTTCCATTTCATACATTTAAAAAGTAATACCAAGGAACTATAAAATCGCCTATGTTCTAGAGTTGTCATGTTGCTTTTAGCTAAAATTGTATTTTAGTCAACACTATTGCCGAGATTAAGCAAAGTTTTAAGTGCGTACTTATTGACTGATTCCAGTTTAATTCGATCAAAAACAAGTGATTAAAACTCCGCGAAAAACAAATCTAAAATACGAGTAAATGTCCACGTCAGTTTTCCAATGTCAAAGTTAAAGTTCTTTGGCGTGATTGGCTAATTTGTGAAATCACGCGCGCATCGCGTGAAGGCAAAAATAATACAAAGGGGAGGGGGAGAGGAAGAGAAAAATTGTTACATGAAATTTAAAAACGAAAGAGATTTTATGCAGTGTCAGTGGGGAGGAGGGATCCCATGGATCCACTAATGTTATCACTGACAAAATTAGACGGATATGGTTGGATTATGACGTCATGTAGTCTTCCACTTGCGTGACAAGGAGACTTTCTCCGCTTTTGTTCGAAACTCTAGTTAGAGGGTACCAATGGGGTGATGGCTTTTACGACTATTAGTTAAAATACGTCAAATTTTACGCCTAACGGCTAAATTTTCTTGCTATTTCACGGCTATCGGTTAACCCCATTGAGATCTTCTAGTTATGACCAGGCTCATGGAAAGGCTAATTTACCTGCATAAGTATAATAACAGTAAACCAATGTTTCTCACTTGTTCTCTTTCTTCCTACTCATTTTCTTTTTATTACTTGTTCTATTTTTCTCATTTGTTCATTTTTTCTCACATCTCATCACCTTGCTGCTTGAAATAAAATAGATATTGCAGCGCGAACTTCGTTTTTGATCACTCGTGGGAGTGAAAGAGTTACGACTGCCCTGAATGAAGCAGGTCTACAGTGACTTGATCACTCACAATTTCCAACACTATTAGCAAAGTAATTGTTTTTAATCTGCATTCTCAATGGCCTCTTTCTATTTCGGAGAACAATAGCAGTATTTCCTTAGAAGTGGGTATGAAGACGCGATGCAATATGGTTGATCTTTGTAAGCATCAATTCGACTGATATCTCCCACTAGTGAGGGAATACCCTTCTTCATTCTCACCGAAGCTTCGTAAAATCCCTCGTTTGGAGATGTCACGAACTGTAACTGATACAAAGTGTCCATAGCAAGAGTATTAACCGATTTTTCACCCAACACCACACCACAGGAATCACATTCATCGTGAGCACCTCTTTTGGAGTCTACAAATCTCTGCATGGCGTCTTTCGGCATCTCGCGGAAAGCGTTCTTTATTTCTTTTAGTTTCATCCGCTGACATAGCTTTAACAATTTGTCGCTTTGTGACGTTAAATTGTTCATGTGCCTGAGGACAAACTCAGCTGATTCCTTGACTGCGGGCTCAACCACCGACACGGCTTCCAAATCAAGACAGGGACACCAGTGATCTTCCACACCTGCGCTTGCGCACGTCCGATTTCTCTCATCAATCCGGCTGAACAAGCTTTGACCAGTTATAATTTCGCTTGGATACTGTGGATATGACAGTACGTGACGTAATGTGGCATAAACGTCAAAGGGTGATGTTAGAACACGAGAGTTTTGGACCAGATTTTTGTGGAGGTCTGGATACTTGTCAAGAAACCAGTTAGGCAGACTGATTGACATAAATGGAAACCTCTCTTCTAGTTTACCCTGAATTGTCTTTCGCAGACCAGCGAACCGATGCCCATGATCCCCGAAAATAATCAGCATGGTATTTTTTTCAAATGATTCTCGCTGGAATGTTTGCAAGAAAGTCGTCAGGTCTTCGTCTACATAACCGATCGTATTTACGTCATCATGTGAAATCGAAGCATGAGATGAGAACGCAAAATTAGGCCGGTTCTTGTAACTTCGAAAGAAACTTAACAAATAATTGAGAGATACGTTATGAGCAGGTCTGTTATTGATACATTTTCCATTTAAAAGTTTATCTGTCTCTATCCAGAATGGTCTGGCGAAATGGTCTGTTGGAGGGTCTCTGAAACCATGTAGACGGTAATTAAAGGCTGCATACTCTGGAGTGTCTTCCGAGAACATAGTAGCATATCCTTTGTCATTGTAATTTCTGAAAATCCAGCGCCATCTGTCAATAGGTTGTGAGCCGCTCATTCTCCGTCGAGCCTCAGGTTGCTTATTTTCGTCGATTCCAGTGAGCATTCCACACAGCTGCGCAGTGGTGCCGTCCCCTATGATCGTCTCTCCTATTAAACACATAAAATTGAGGCTGAGTCGTTTTTAGCGTTTTCAACCCTAACTACAAATTATAAGAAGTTTTGTAGCTAATGATATAGAAATCTGTGAGATTATTCTGTTAACAGCTGACTTCGGCTTTCATTTTTTTTCCTCTTTTCAAATGATCACATAAAAGTAACTCATGTACGGAGAATTACATTCCCCACAATCGATCCGAGAAACTTGATAAACTTGCAACCGACCAAGAGCCAGAGAACGTTCATAACACTTCTTCAAAGAATAAAGATTAAAAATTTGTTGGCATAATTTGCGAGAATAGGACCTTGTTTACATTGAGAGCAAGAGCTAATTCATTGTCGGTTTTTAAATATTTTGTCTGTGATGACTTCTTTGCTGGAATTCCCTTGACAGTTACATGTATTCGTTCGTTATTCCAAATCATTTCTGGAGTATTTTTAGAAGTTTAAACCGAATTCCAGACAGTTGTGACTAATATAGCCAAATATCCGTTATTAAATGAAGTAATTAATCCTGAAAAATTGAATTAACGCTTGCTGAACCAGTGATAATCATGTAAAGTAAATACCGGTGGTTAAAATGCAGTTGATTTCCTAATGTACAGGAGAATCCTGTCGGGGAATATCAGTTACAAATTAATTCATTGATTAAATGTCCTAGTAACTATTAATTATGTCACGGAATTGTAAATGATCGCATTAGAGAGTGTGACAGATTTCACAATATGGTAAACAAAGTCCGCAGTTGATTTACTGTAAGAGGGATGTTGTAATTGCACGCGTTAAGTCCGCCTAATAAGGAAGGGGGAAACGTGCTTTTGGGTAATAAGTATAGGAAATCGTATGAACCTGCTCGTGCATTTCGTGATTTATGGGCACGAGTGATGTTTTGAAAGTTCTCAAAATTGCACGAGCCGTAGGCGAGTGCAATTTGAGAACTTTCAAAACATCACGAGTGACCATAAATCACGAAATGCACGAGCAGGTTCATACGATTTTTTATTTATTATATTCTCAAATTTGTGTTCAAATTTGGCGCTTCCCCGGTGTTTCCATGGCAACTTCTCCGTATTGCACTCTATAACCTCTATTGCACTCTATAACCTATTTATGCATTCATCATTGACCAATCAGAAACGCGATATTTTGTTGAGTATATAATAAGAGTTAAATATAGACATATTACAATAGGTTGACTTGGGAATTTACTGCACTCGTGATTGTAGGGAAACGCTAGCTGGTAGTTACGCAAGGCGAACTATGAAAGGCTATAATATATATAGTTAAAGTTAGATTTGGAAGAACGTTTGAACTGTTACAACAAGAGAATTGATAGAATGAATTTTTAGAACGTCGGCGGAGTTCGTAGAAAATAAAACTTGGAAAAGAAGATAGAATACAATCCTCTTCAATTAATATCGAATTAACCAGCGATTGCGGAGTCCGTATAGATTCCGCGACAAATCCTTAGACCTTTCTCACGGTGAAAGTTGCGACCACAGAATCATCGAAATAAATTGACAGTCGGTTACCTAGCTACCATCTCTTAGTATATTCACGTGTGACTGACGTGTCAAACTGACGATCCATTCCAAAGCAGTGGAACGATCTAACAGCCGTTTATCTCAAAAATAAAACAAGTAATAGAACTATACAAAACTTAACTCACCTTGCAGAAAGACGGTGTTTAAGTTCTTGGTCAGATATTCCAAGCTTTTGGGCAATTTTCTTTTAAAATTAGCGTGTGATGTGGAGTCGAACATGATCAGTGCTACATTTAGTGGAATACCACCAGGTTTCTGCTCCCGTTTGAGAACTTCCTTTTTAGGAAACACGTGCATGTGAACGTCACTTTTGGTCTCACCTGAAGATGTCTCGACGTCTACTCGGATGAAGTCGTAATCAACCGATACATTTCCACTGAAGATTCCTGCAGGTGCAAATAAGAACTTATGTAATAACTTGGCTGAGGGCTATGTGTTGTCCAGATATCAATTGGTGTAGTTAGGCGGGGTTAGATGATGAATGCGACCTCCTTTTGGTCAATTAAAAGTGATAATCTATGTATATATATATATATATATATATATATATATATATATATATATATATAAATAAAACAAACAACCAAAGAACAATAAAATGAGCCTAGTATGCTGCCAAAAAGCCAAGACGCTTACATGTGTGTGGGTCCTACTACATGCGGATATTCCTAAAAGTGGGAATGGAGAATGGAGAATAGGAAATGGAAAATAAAGATTGGGGAATGGGGAGTGAGGAATGGAGAATGGAGAATGGGAAATGGGAAATGGGAAATGGAAAATGGAAAATGGAAAATGAAAATGGAAATCGAGGAACGGGAAACGGGAAACGGGAAACGGAAAACGGGAAACGGAAAACGGAAAACGGAAAACGAAGAACGAAGAACGGGGAACGGGGAACGCTTACTTGAAAAGTAAGGCAAGTGCTTTGTCTGATCGAAACTTCTCTACTAGGAAAAATCTCTATAATAATAATAATAATAATAATAATAACAATAACGGTTTAGTATCAGTACATCCATGGTATGGCTCTTCGCCTGATGTAAAATAAAAAGAAAATAATTAATAAATAAAAATACATAAATATGAATTATGAATTTATAAAAAGCTAGGTAATAAACAGTAAAATGTAATTATACAATATATATATTATTTAAAACTAGGCAAGAAATATTTCCGCCCTTTCCGGCAGCGCTCTCTTAAAATACACAATGTTCGCTTGCTGAAGGATTTAAAATTATCGCAGCATTTAACATTGGATGGCAGAGAATTGAAGAGGGCTGCCGCGCTATACTGAAAAGTGTCCGAGGCATATGGAATAACTAGAATTATGGTATTTGATTACCGTAAATTTCTAGCATGTTTTACTTGCTCAAGCTGAAGGTTTCTGGGCCAATCATGAGAGTATATAACTTTGTGTGCGGCCTTTAGAACATGCCATTCTCTACGTTCTTTCATAGGCAACCAGCTTAACTTAAGAATAGAGTCAATATTGTTCACACAGTATCCAAAAACAAAACTGACTGCCGCAAACTGGATGTGCTGCAACCTTTTTAGAAGGCAATCAGTAATTGGATGGAATAGTATATCATTAAAGTCTAGGAGAGATAGAACCAGACATTCAACTAAATGTTTTCTCAGATGGTAGTTTGTAAACTTCTTGATTTTCCTCAGCGCAGCTAGGACACCATAACAAGTGAGGCGAGATGCTTAACATGATCATCCCATTTCAAGGTGTCAGTCTTGTGAACCCCAAGTAATTTAGTAGAATGAACACGCTCGAGGGGTTTATCTCCTACAGATAAATGTATAGGACGTTCAGCCAGAGAATGGTAAGACGACATCTGAGGAGTTGAGAACAGCATACACTTAGTCTTTGCAGGGTTCAGCGCTAAGTTGGGGTCCTGGCACCAGTTTGTGATACTACAAGAGTCTCATTCATGTCCACAGCTCTTGAGTCTAACTCCTTGACATTAAAATGGCTGTACAGTGAGGTATCATCCACATACTGGACGCATTCCATCGATGATGGAGTAACCTCGTGTAGATCTGATACATATAAGTTAAAATCATCGGTCCCAGGATGGACCCCCTGTGGAACGCCATACTGAGATGACTGGTACGAGGACTTCCTATCGTCGATCTGCACGGACTGGGAGCGGCCAGATAGATAGCTCAAGAGCCACTTGAGAAAGGGTTTTGAGAAACTGAGATTGTAGAACTTCACGATGGTCACGCTAAAGGATATGGTGTCAAAAGCCTTCGCGAAATTGGCTAACACCATAATTTCGTCTCTAACTCTTAACAAGGCTGTAATGGTGGAATGCCCTTTACGGAAAGCAGAGATGCGATCGTGAAGAAGATGGGCGTGGTCCGCATAATTCGTCATTTGAATAGCCACAAGCTTCTCGAAGACCTTGGATAGAACAGGGAGAACTGAGATGGACCGAAGTTGATCGTTAGAGACCGGGTTGTCAATCTTTGGAACTGTAGACACCTGAGCAATCTTCCATTGCTTTGGAAAATAAGCTTTCGCAATGCAATTGTTGATGATAGATGTTAGGGGGACTGCCAAGCACTCAACAACCATCTTGATGAAGCGGGTAGGTATCTGATCCGCGCCCGTAGAACAATCCGATCGTAGATTCTTGATGACCTGAAGAACGTTCTCACTGGTGATAGGTGACAGCTGAAAACGCATACTCCCTGACGGGACGTCAGGCAGGTTATCTATCAGGCACGTGAGATCCTCTATTGGGGTCGCCCGAGTCTCTAGTGTTCTCTGAGCAGTCGAAGCGAAGAAATCGTTAAGTCCGTCCGGATCAAACCGCAGGGGCCTTGCACTAGGCTTTAGCACTCTGTGGATGACTTTCCAAACCTCGCGCGACTTATTTGAATAGAGAGCTTTTTCAATAAATGCCTTCCGCGCAGTTCTTATTGCCGACTTTAATTTATTCCTGATCGAACGACACTCATGCCAAGCGGCATCAGTGCTAGTCTGGTGAGCGGTAAATCTAGCAGAATCCCGTTTCTTCTGGAATTCCTTTATCAGTGGGTCCTTCATCCATGGGGCGGGTGGTCGCGTGACGCGAACCTTCCGTAAGGGGCCGTCTCTCTCAAGACACTCGGAAACTAGTGTATTCAGTGTCTCTTGTTGTTCGTCTGGATCATCTGAGTAGTATATAACAGACAGAGGAGAAAAGTCCTCTAGGTGAAAGAATATTGTGAAAGACTTTACCACTGTGTAAGGGTTAGATTTTGGCGCGCACAGAAAGCTACGTAAGCATAGGCGCTAGTTGCTCGACATACCTGCGTGGCCTGTGAGACGAAATAACTTCACGGAATTGGCAAAGTTTCAGTCACAGCAAATTATACGAGAAATCTAGAAAGATTTAGACTTACATCTCGTCTAACGTTTAAAGCGACGTATTAACGCCTGCAACCATTATATTTTATACGAACCTCGCAAACTTTTAAATACGTTCTCTTGTGATACCTGCGAAAGTATTCTGTATAATTTCTGGTAAGATTTTCGCGGACAATCTGATCGATTTCTCTTACATTGTGTGCTGAGACTGAAACTTTTCACCTCGGGCAAAGCTTCGTCGCACAGCCCAAACAAACAAGGCGAGCAACTGAGCTTCTTGTACATATCAGTGTCAAAACACACGAAAGGACTCTAAAGCATACTTCACTCTGATTGGGCAGAAAAACACAAAGATTTTCTGGCACCAATCAGATGCCAGAACGACTGCGACCGTTTGGAACTAGTCTTGTAAGACAATGTCCCCAGGGGCTCTTCCGCCCTGACTTGAAATCGACTCACAGCCCCTGGGTCTCCGAGGATGTACTGGGCCCGGATTCACAGAAATATCACCACTCCGGATCAATAGCCTTTGTGTTGCAATGGAGTTGCTGTAATAAGTAACCGGCGTTTTGTAATATCGCGGACGCTTGTGCCTTTGTTTACATCGATGAGAGCTGGACCATATAGAATCCATTGTAGCGAGGGCGAGACAATTTGATCCAGACCACGAGGGACACCGCAGTTTAGCCATATGCAAATGTCGAAAGACCAATGTTCGAATATCCAAGTTCGAGCTGAGAAACTTCTTCCTTCGTATAACCACTTGAACCAAGACCATGCCAAGAAAATTGTACTATTGGCAAGTGCATCGACTTATAAAACACGGGAACAAACTTCAGCGCCGTAAAATGGATATTTAAAAGGAAAATAAGACATAACACGGAGACTAAAAATCCGTGTCTATACGTCGACTATACGCCATTATTGACACAGTTCCGATCCCTCTCTATTACTTTCTAAAAATAAAATGACAACTTTTTTAAAATGGGTATTCAAGTGTCCGTTCGTTTGTAATTCGTAGTTAGGTAGTGACTTGAACTCTGAAAAATTCAAGCACTTAACGGCTAACATTTTTGAAACCTATAATTTACTAATTTTCAAACAAACATTAAAACAGCTCTTTCACTAATCACAACAAATTTAATTTCACCTATCACTTGTTAATGAAACGATTTAACTTTGGTTTTACATTATTCTTCAAGTGTCATCAGTATCACTTCTTTCATTATCATCAATTTATTCTGTTCCTTAATTTTGCCTCTGCACGTTTTTGAAAGAAAGTGTAAATATCGATAATCAACGCTGAAAATATTTAATCCGCATTATAAACTTAAAATATATAAAAAAATGAATTTGCCATTTTCAATTTCCCATTTCAATTTCCCATTCCTCATTCTCCATTTCCCATTCTTGCTTTGTGCAAAATCCAGTATTTTAGTAACAGACTCTACGTTGGTTTTAGGTCACTATGGTGCGTTGTCAGAATAGAAGTTACTATGCAATCTATATTTCTGTTTTCAGAACACAATGTGAACTGAAATAAACCGTCGTAGGCGCATTCGCCTCAAGACAATCCATATAACATTTCTAAAATTTTGGAAGTTTCAAATGACGCATTGCATATAAGAAAAAAATTATAATGCTAACTTTTTTACTGTTTACATAATTGAGACGCTCTAATTTCGGGAGGAACTGGTTCTGGAGAGCCAGTACAAGTATCGCTGAGTACAGAAAATTATGCTGGACAAGAAAATTTACATACGACACGTCGACACAAGGATGTAGTCAGCGTAGCGTTTTGGGTTTCCAAAGAATTCGATGCTAGAGAACTATTTTTCGTATCCAACATTGACTGGAGACAAGAGAATATCTCTTGCTCACGTTGGTTTCGTAGAGTGTTGCATTGTCTCACTGTGGCGTGACAGTAGGGGTCATCTACTTCAGAACAGCTTTATGTTTGGTTAATATGGAATATTACTAAGAAAATTCCATGTTTGTTTAGTTATTCCAAGTGATTTTAAAATTACTTTTTCTTTTAGGGCCCCATGCGGAAAAGTTGTTTATTTGGACAAATTTTATGTCATCACCAACATTTTACCAGTGCGAATGGTTTGTCGCGACTTGTCCACTTGCTGCGACTTGTCCTCTTGTAGAAGAGGACAAACCTTCATACGCACCGCCGACAAAACTTTTCCGTTGGAAACTGAGCAAAACCGACTGCATAAACAAAACCGAGTGTAGTTGAACTAAAATCAGTTTACTAGAAAGGCAAAAAAATTGTCTTTTGAGGCAAAACTCGAAGATTGTCAACTTTTAAAACGATTGAGGATAAATCCTGAAAATTGGAGGTAGTTGTCGGCACTTGAAGAGACTGCCGGGCACGATCTCAAATAAACTAAACGCCCGGGAATCGGAAATATCCACCGAATTTCGAGTAAACATTTTTCACGAAGCATAAATTTGAATAGGTTGTCCCGTATTATTTTTGTGGAGCTGTTTAATTCAGTGCAACGTGGAACTTTACTCGTCACAAACATATTTATCTCAAGTAACAGCTCAAATAAAAATTTTTCTCACCTTTCTGGTCTGTCGTTGACGCTCGACTCCCGCTCTTGTTTGGAACTTTAACTGGATCCGAAAGAACCACACGAAAATCGTTCCCCTCAGGCCTTTCGATCTTTCTGTATTGTGCGGAGACGATGCCTTCGCCTTCAACTCGAAGCACGTTGTCTTCGAAACTGGAATAACTGACACCTACGCAACTGAGTTTGCCAAGATCTTTTATAAAGTTAACCACGCTGGGGTGAAATGGATCTAAAACGGGCAGCTTACAAGCGGCAGGATCATAGGCTGCTCTGTTCTTGGGAACATTTACTAACATTTGATTACGAAGTTTCGTGACTTTCGTGTTTGATGTTCTCAAATTGAAACCTCCATAAAACACAAGTGCTAACGATGTAAGACTAACAATGCCCAGTGATAAAGCGAAGCAACGAAAGTTGAGCCATCTAACAATAGAGCAGAAGGTAAAGGTCTTCTGAAAAAGCCTTTTAGGCATACTTTCCGCAAAATATTCCGCTAAAAAAAATGGGAAGAAAGCACAAACGCTTTCGCAACTTTAAGTATCATACGACGTGTACGTGATTAGCACCCAGTCTCAGCGGGTTGAATTATTATGAAAGGTAATACTTTCAATGGTTTACTTAGGTCCTGTGTGAGACCTCAGGTAAGTGAAGTAACCCGCCTAGCCGTGGTCGGAAAATAAAACGCGTTTACATACAATCTTACAACCCCGGGGTGCTGGGGTGAGATTTCTTGAGGTTGTTGTTGCGCTTGCAGTTAAGGAGTTTAAGCAGAGGCGTCCTAAGCTCACATCTCGAGAAAGACAAAAGATTAATTCTCGGACACATGTATTTATTCTTGAAAGCGTCACGCGTTGTGTTACGCGGTGTTAGGTTACGCGATGAACCGTTGACTAATACGTTATACGGAATAGCTTGGGAAACGAAATATGGTCGATTTACAACGCTAAATATTCCGAAATGTGAACATTTTACACTCCTTGTGTTTCCGTTGCGGTTTCTGGTGATTTCTGCCATCAAACGGCTAGGAAATGTACAAAGTTTTAAAACACACATGTATCGCTTTTGAGCTTTTTGCTATGAACGCGACCCCGGCTAGGCGGGTTACCCCTCCTTGAGACTTTTACATGGCAAATTGTCACCCCGGCTGACAGGGATACCCTACCCGACAGACCGGACAACCCGCCCAGGTGGGTCACCCTACCTATCATATCCCACCTAGTAAACGTGATCGAGATAAAATAAGAAATTACATGGACATACGGGTCACCCCACCTAGGCGGGTTACCTCACCTACCTGGGGTCCCCCACCTCCATGTAAACAGGCCCTTAGAAAGCAGAGGAGCCGTATTTGAGATTTCGTTTAAAAACGTGGAATGCAGAGTGCGGAGTGTAGAAAATGTGGATTGTGGAGAAGCGGAGTGTAAAAATATAACAGAAATAATATATAAAAGAATAAGATATATATATGTTATTTGCCGGCTGGGAGGTTACAGTTTTTCGCCATACGGACCGACCCTTAGCTGATAAATCACATATTCATTTATTTTTTAAACTTAACGAAATTCTTTCCGAAAGAACCCGAATGATTTAGGGCTGTAAATACGGCAAGATCTTCCATAAACTGAACAATTAATATTCAGATTAATTCAAGTTGTTCCAGCTCAAACATTAAGCCGGAACAATTCTAACAATTTAATAATTAGTTATTTTCAAACGATAAGCCACTTTAGTTGATTCGGGCACTCATTTTCACATGTGAGTTCAAGTCCGCATTGATCTCCACGTGGTCACTCTCACAGAGGGACATAATGGCTTTAAAGTCCCACTTCTTCAGCCCAAATCGCTTTCAAAAGGTTACTTCGAGGGCTTACCCAGTTTTGCGTGGGGTGACGTTAAAGATAAGGACGAGATTGGTAAGGGAAACTTTGGATCGGTGATGAAAGGCAATTGCGCTCCTAAGATAAAGTTGTTATTGTTAAGCGATTCTTTGGAGAGGGGGATTCTCACTTAAAGAACATTGCAAAGGAGGAAAAACTGCTTAAGAGCTTGTGCCATTCGAACATTACGCAATTTATGGGCGTTTGTTAAAAGCCAGCGACAATAATGATAGAGTACGAGTGCTTCGATTTTAGTACCTTCTGCCTCAACCATCAAATATCCAATCTGCTGGAGTTTTTAAACACTCTTGATGGGATTGAGGGCCAAATTGAAGCCTTTGAGCATTTCTTACCTGTTTTTCCGAAAGCTGCGTCGCGGAGGGACACTGTTTTCTTCATTCAAATAATACCCATCATGCATCGTGACCAAAAACTAAGCGACGTGATGGTCAGCAAGCAGCACTACTGTAAAAAAGATATCAGTGCGGATCAACGGCCAAGTGTCTTTGCCGACTGTCCAGTGGTTTGCACAAAATAATCTTTCTTCAGCGAATTTTGAAACAGCCTCCAAAGGTAAGAGGAAATGTAAACCCGGAGCAAAATTATATCTAGTGGGGATACTTGTCAGCAAGCGGAAATCGTCGAACTAAGAGTGTTATCATACAGAGCTGCGCACAAAACTATTCAAGGGCTAAAATGACTTTATTTTATTTAAACTCTATACAGGATGATGAGTATCTGGTAAAATGGAAAGACTGGTCGATTCGTCAACATCTTCCCGGCTGCGATAAATTTTTGCTGGACTGCTAATTCGAAGATAGACCGCAACTTTTTGCCTCTCACGATCGCTCAATAAATCTGACACACACAAAATGCGTTGCAGGTACTATAGTAATGTTTCAAGATTAAAATTTTAATTGCCAAGCGGAAAATGTCACAAGTACCGACGCGACCCACGCACGTACGCTTACACATCCTTCCGCTGAGTTCCGCATAGTATATTTTCCAGCGTTGTAAACAGTGGACTGCTGATTTTATGACCCGCGTATTTTCGTACACACTATAATAAATCTCATATGAATTATCTACAATATAAATGCCCGACTACATTTTAGCCTACGTGTAGCCGTACCCTTCCCCGGCAAAGGTGGAACGGAGGCGAGGCAACGTCTACGCAAACCTGACACTAATCGTGTCCCGTGACGTCACTCTGAAGTATGCAAAATAATGTCACTTGATGTTTTTTTTTGGCGAAGTGACACGTGATAGCGTGAAGGTTATTGAGATAAACAACAACATACAAGTGAATACATTTTCCATTTTTCGGGTAATACCAGAGTTAAGATACCAGAGTTGAAGAGTACAAGGTGTACGTACAAGGCGTACGTAGCTTTTGAATAGATTTTTGTTGTTACTCGCTTTCGTCATATGCACCTGGTTGTCGGCACTTTTGTTATTTATTACATGGTTTTTTTTAGGTAAATATAAGTGTTAATGGTCTTTCTGGAAACATTGGTTTTCATGGTAGATAGCAGCTGAGTTTATACTCGTAACTTTAATTTCTTTTCATGCGATGGTTTCCAAACCAATCTTGCATAGATAAGCAGAAACTTTTAATTGCTTTTCCGTTTTTATTTCCTGAGCTGCGCTACTGCAATTAAGATAGGTATTGTTTTCTATATCAGAGCTGTCAATTCGCACCTAAGTTTCCTACGTTAATGGCCTAGAGTTTATTGCATCCGTCTTTTTAATTTTGAGATTCTTTCCGTCGTGGAAACAGATGGAATATTTAAGTAGTTTTCGTTTAACTTCAAAGAGACTTTTTTCCGCTCCTTTGTGTCCTTATTTAAATATTGCGATTTGTGTAACAATAGCACTTCACAACAGTTACTTCTTAAGCAAGTACCTTGTACAGCTTTGATGATTACAAACTAGAGTATGCTAGAAGTCATGTCGCTTGTTGGCCTGACCTAGAATAAAAGTGCTGTGGAACCAAAGATTGTCTTATCCTTGACGTCCGTATAAGCTCGCTCGAAGTAGATCTCCGTGTACCAGGAAATCGTGACAAGTTTCCGTTCTAGCTGGCCAGTCGTCTCTACAGAGTTATTTCCCCCAGTTGTCATTGTGCCGTCCGCGAAGATCCAGGCCCCCATTTTGGCTTACCCCGACTTCACGCTTCCCTTTGACCTCTACGTCGATGCGAGTGATGAAGCTCTTGGAATGGTTTTAGGACAAGTACAGAACGGTCGTAAAGTTGAAATCTCGTACAGTGGCCGTAAATTACTACCCGCAGAAAAGAATTATAGTGTGACAGAAAGAGAAGCCCTGGCTGTTGTCGCAGGCATCAAGTATTTCCAGCCCTACGTCTATGGCCGTCGATTCACCGTTCATACTGACCATAACGCAGTACGTTGACTGATGAATATTAAGGAACCCACTGGGCGACTTGCTCGTTGGGCTGTACTCCTCCAGCAATACGACTTTAACATTGTTCATCGTTCAGGTAAAAGCAATGGAAACGCAGATGCCCTCTCTAGACGAGATTATGATATCCTTATCGCCCCTCTTGATAAGGGTGAAGTCCAAACGGAGAAGATTCGCGACCTACAGCGCAGGGACCCCGCCCTTGCCGATATAATTGAGTACCTGGAGTTCGAGGAGCTTCCCAATGACAGTAAAGCAGCCAAGCAGCTCTTGTATACGATTGAACAGTACTACCTAGATCCTGAGGGAATTCTGTGCCACATTTGGGTTCCAGGGGGTAAACGGTCGTCCATACCCAAATCACAGCTCGTAGTTCCCGCCTCGCTACGCCATGAGATACTTGTAAACGTACACGATCTCCCAACTGGTGGTCATCTGGGAGTAAACAAAACTTATGCCAAGCTTCGCGAGCGTTATTTTTGGCCCAAGATGTACATGGATGTTCAACACTGATGTTTGAGTTGTGAGCACTGTGCAATGAAGAAGACCCCAAGACAGCGACAAACTTCGCCATTACTCCCGATCCCCGTTGAGGCACCGTTCGAGAAAGTAAGCTGTGATATTAGTAGACCATGGCCAGTAACTCACGACAACAACCGCTACATTCTGGTCTTCATTGACATGTGCACCAAGTGGCCCGAAGCCTTCGCCATTCCAAATATTGAGGCAAAAACAGTTGCTGAGATCTTCGTGAAGGAGATTGTTAGTCGTCACGGTGCGCCATGCGTGCTCTTGTCAGATCGCGGGTTTAATTTCCTTTCCAGTCTGTTCCGAGAAGTCTGCTTCTTAATGAACACTGAGAAGATATTTACTAGTGGATACAGACCACAGACTAATGGTTAAGTCGAGCGATTCAATGGCACCTTAGCTCAGAGTCTTTCCATGTACGTCAGCAGCGACCAAAAGGACTGGGATCAACATTTGAATTCCGTCCTATTCGCCTATAGAGTTTCACCCTCAGAAGTCACTGGGGAATCCCCCTTTTACATGTTGTATGGCCGAGAACCCCTACTGCTTATGGACACCGCCTTGATTCCCCCTAGGGAAATGTCTGGGTCCGTCGCCGAGCACAGAGTTCGTGTTGTCGAGCATGTGGAAAGAGTTAGGCGAATTGCCGCCGAGAATACCCAACGAGCACAACAGAAAATGAAGGAACTCCATGACCTGACTGCCTCGT